TTAAAACTAAAGGATTTTAAGAACAGCATCTATGAACTAGCATCAGATACATTATTGTAATTAGATGTTGGATTTATGCACAGCTCTCTCATGTTATTAAGACAAAGTCAGACTGAGCCCAGTTTCACTGCTTGGGCTGATTGTGCAGGTGGATGTTAACAGATAACAGCTTTAAATGAATAAGGACTCGGTTTATCTGGTAACTATGTTGTTCATAATTTACTGCATTTATCAGATTAAAAGCATCATTTGTCAGCAGTGATGAAGAGTAAATGTCTCCTTTGTGCCCAGGAAGCCACAGAAACACAGTATGTAGCAGATTATTTTAATGGGTTCAGTTCAAATGTGTCTGCAGACGAGCTTATGAATTCCAGCTTTCAGCTTATTGTTCGAGCAACTGATAAAAGTAGCCCAGGAGATGTAATGACAACACATGATAATAACTATAATTAATACAATCTAAATTGTTAATTAGACCAATTTTAATTCACTAAGATTAAAAAGACACTAATGCTGATGATACCAACTGATACCATTTGGTAAAACCACAAATGAGACACACAAATCAGAACAAGTCAGAGGCTGTAGTTAGGGAAACACTGAAGATCACCAGAAATGTTTGGGCCTCATTTGTAAACTTCACCGAAGTTATTTCCAATAATATATTTTTAAACAATTATCTGTATAATTAATGAGAAATTGCAAAGCTGACATTTGTAAACTTTGTAAATAATTCATGAATATTGTGTATGACATCTAAAAACAGGACAGCTAATGCTAAGCTGCAGTGTGTTCAGTGATAAGTCGGCCCTTGGGTGTAAATAAAAAAAAAAACAACTTTTGATTAGTATGAATTTCTTTTGTTGCTTAGTAAAGTTTGTGTTGGATTAAAATACAACAAACTGCTCTCACTGTTGCCATGACAGCGGGCTAATGCTAAAGAACAGCTTGTGTGAATCTCTGAGACTAAACAACAGTCGGGGACGGGGCATCTGTGATGAAACCCTCGATGATAAATAGTGAAATAAACATCTGGTCATCATTAAAGAACACATACTATAGTGATAACATGTTGTTTGTGTCATCAGAATGTAATTATCGTCTCTTTCCAACTGTGATATATAAGATAGGAAGCTTTAACTTCACCACATTGTTGTTCATACATGTCGCCACTATGAGCACCACTATCAGCGGCTCTGGAATTCTTTTCCTCTGGATATCAGGAAAACTGAACTCAAAGCCATCTGCTCAAATCAGCTTACTGTCTGTAAACATCAACATGAACGACGACTCCAGTTACTGTTTAATCCTGTTTACTGTTCCGTGTTTGTTACGGTGACCCTGGGTTGTTAGACAGGCGCCCACTAATAAAATGTGTTATTATTATTATTGCTGTTGTTGTTATTATTACTGGTCTACCTTTAAATTATGTTCACTCTGCCTGCTGTTTGAAAATTTCCTTATAGTTTCTTGTTCAACTGTTCATATAATCTTTCCCACACTAACAGTAAAATGTTAGCTTGTTTTTGAAGCAATGTAAATATGTTACAATAAAGTGTGTTGTTCAGCAATCGCACAGTGCAGCACAGAGAAACGAGCTCTAATATCTGACCTGAGATGAGAAACGTTGTCCAGCATGAGGAGGATGGACTCTACTCCCCCTGCTGGTATGGAGGTCCACAGCAGGTTCAGTCTGACTCCGTCTCCGTGTTTGAGGATGAAGATCAGAGCAGCACAGTCCACTGAGTCCAGCTGTCTGCAGCTCAGGTTGATCACATGACCGAGTGACCTCAGCAAACTGGGCACAGCGTGACTGTCGTGAGCTCTGTAGAGCTCTCTGATGAAGCTCATCACAAAGCTGGGACTGGGCCTGAAAACAAAGAGTTTATTTCCAAATGTGTTTAAAGGATCCATGAAGTGCTGATTAAAGATGAGACAGCATTTCAAATCCTCCTGATTAAACAGCAGAAAATGATCAAACTACATTCAGCACCTTTTAAACACAATCCCGTCCAGAAAGGGAAGCAGACGTGTGGTTTCCTCCTGTAAGAACAGGTTCTTCCTCAGGTCCACAGTGATGGTCTGAGCCGACGGCTGCTGCAGCAGATAGTGAAGAAGCTCCCAGCTCAGACAGCAGGAGGTCAGGTCTCCACCAACCTTACTCAAGAAGGACAACGTCAAGTCCTTGTCCTGGGTTCCATGGAGGAGAGACAGAACCTGCTGGAAGCTCTCTTCACTCAGTCTGAAGAGATCACGAATATTGAATAAGCTTTGAAGTAAAAATCTACATTTTATTTGTCCTGTGATGTTCAGAAAGACATTTACTTGACTGTCAGAGGACCATCATGGAGCAGCAGAGCAACGAGACCCTGAGCAGGGATGCAGGTCTCAGTCAGGTCTAACCGTCCGACTGTCCAGTATCTCAGCAGGGAAGCCAAACTACTGACAGCCCTCAACAATACTCTGTGTGATGGTGGGGCTTTCTTAGACATAAGAGAAAGCTCTTCAACAGCCAGCCGACAGGCCGCTCTGCCTCTTCTTACCCACTGAGACAGCAGCAAGGACATGTCGATGGAAAGCCTGAAGAACGAAGAGACAAAAGAGCAGAAATGATGAACACCAAGAGCTAAAGATTCAAATATAAATGGTGTTAGAAGAACAAGAGAGAGTCATGGCTTCACTTCCTGCCTCAGACTGTGGAGTTGTGTTGTGTGTCTGAAGAGCAGAGCGCCTCCTCTGGCAGACATCTTGCTGGGTGTGAGGATGAGATCCACTTTAGAGCCACATAGTTGGAGAGCTCTACCCACAGACCAGCAGCTTTTCCTGTGTAACGCTCCTGTTAGCAGCAGCTGGAAGCCCAGCAGCTGCAGCAGAGACTCCAGCTGCTGGGCCTCTTCTCTGGATCTTACAGACATGGATGTGCACACACTCTGGAAGAACTCTGGATCACAGCTGGAACACAGTGAAGATGGGATCAGAGAACATGCTGGAAACGTTCTGCAAATGGAACCATCATGACTTATTTACCTGAGCTGTGAGATATAAGGCAGACACTGCAGCAAA